CTGCAGGAGCACCGGGACTGACTGCCCGAGGGGGTTTGTGAAACAAAGCCTCTCCTCCATCCCTTCCCGTCTCGGCCGAGAAAGCTGTCACGGGACACCTGGTTCTGTTTTGTTGCTAACGCTGTAGTTATTGTTGTTTGTGTGCCTTGTTATACATACTAGTAAAGAACTGTTATTCCTATCCCCAGAGCTCTGCCTGAGAGCCCCTTGATTTCAGAATTATAGTAATTTGGACGGAGGGGGTCTACCTTTTTCATTCCGAGGGAGGCTCCTGCTCTCCCTAGCAGACACCTGTCTCCCAAAACCGAGACAACCTTAACAGAGTTACAGTGACATATTCTGAAATTATCAATATACTTGGCTTACTTAAAACTTTGACCTTACCACTACTATAATAAAGGGAAAATACTTGTGCATATCTCAGAAAAATTAGTTAAAGATTATTTTAACACAGGCCTGAAATTCAGTTTACTTATGTGGAGCACAACACAGGCAGAGAACTTAATTCTGATGTCACCTGGGATTATGCTGCACATTTCATTAAATTTATTACTGACATTTATAGGACTTGGGCAGGTTCATACCTCACCTAGGAAACTGCTTGGGTCTCACTTCTCAGCTTGTCACCTTCCAACTTCTCTGTCACACAATACATGGAGAAGAGAAGGACTCAGTGTAACCCATTGTTGCCTTTCAGTGCCTGAAGGCAGCCTACAGGAAAGATGGAGAGAGAGATACTATTGATAAGTGTGATAAATGTAACCTTGGATAAAAATTCGTGAAAGAATAAATAAGTATATAACTGTATTTGTAACAATGTAAAAATTATATAAAATATAGTGTGGCCTAAGGATTTCCCCCAAACCCAGCAGTAACTACCCATTCAGGTGGTAACGACCCTAGGCGACGTTTATCAGCCTGAAAGAAAGAGCAGGACACGGACAATTAAGCTAAACAAAGAAAGGAGCCAGGCCGAGATGGCCATGGGCTCCACACCACACCTGGACACTTCACCCTGCAAGCCCCAACTGAAGATGCAATCAGGCCAAACAATGAGAGGAGCCCAGCCGAGATACCCATCGGCTCCGCACCGGACCTGGACACTTCACCCTGAGAGTCCAACCGAGGATACAATCAGGAAGCACTCAGAACCTTTCACATGCGAAAGGACTCTGCCCAGTCGTCTATTGATTCAGTTCCATGGTTCCAGGAAATTCATTCAACCAACCATCTAAACTCTTTGTTGAACAGTAACTGCTCGGAGTTTTGGCCTCAGGACACAAAATCCCTATAAAAACCCCGGACAGTCTACCCTCCTTCGTAGATTTGGGTAAATCTGTACCTCTGGGTATAGACGTCTCCCTGTCCACCCAGCGCTGCGCTGATTTATTTTATTGTGGTTTTTTCTCTCGTTGTTTGTGATTAAAATTGTTTTATAATAAATCGCTTTTTGTATTAACCCTATTTTGCCATTGCATTTATAACATAAGGGATGTAATGTAGGACAAGGGGGAATAGCTTCACACTGACAGAGGGCAGGGTTAGATGGGATATTAGGAAGAAGTTTTTCCCTGTGAGGGTGGTGAGGCCGTGGCACTTGTTTCCCAGAAAAGCTGTGGCTGCCCCATCCGTGAAAATGTCCAAGGCCAGGTTGGACAGGGCTTGGAGCAACCTGGGATAGTGGAAGGTGCTCCTGCCCATGGCAAGAGGGTGCAAATGGGTGAGCTTTGAGGTCACTTCAAATCCAAACCATTCCACAATTCTACAACTAAATAGATCCTTTCTGGTCTTTACGTATTCTGAGTGATAGAACCATATAGTCCATAAAAGCTAAAAATAGTTCCAAAAATCAAGACAAGTCTGTTACTTCATATGGAAAAAGTGTCTGCTTTTGTTTCTGTTTGGCAAAAAAAGAGTTAAGGCCTGATGCTGAATCCTTTGTGCTGGGAAGCTCCTGGATTGTGCCATTCTCACTGCTAGCCCAGGTGGGAAACTTCAGGGACTGTTTCTGATTATAAGAAGGATCATGAAAAAGATCATTTTGTTCCAGAGTGACCAGTCCATTTATATCTCTTTTACTGAAAGGCACACAAAAACATTCATATTCTCACAGGAAACAGGCCTCCCTGCCTTTTTGTTTTCCAGGAGGAAATGTGAGGAGTCAGATGAAAGGATTTCCTAAAATAGCATGAAGTGCTGGTTTGGTACTGGCCAGAGACTCCCTAGTTATCAGTGACAACCTCTTGGTCCCTCTTTGCAGAGCACATGGAAAATCAGCTGCTGATTTGCAGGTAAGACCTAGGGATTTCCTTCTTGCAAAATGTCAGTGAATTAAAATTTCAGCACTAATTTACATTTCCCATTGAAAAGCTGAAGTGAAATTAAGGGAAGCTGGCGGAAGATGGTGAAATTTAATAGAAGTTTTCTATTTTTAAAGGAAATTGCCTAAAGCAGCCATTTATCTTCTTGTTTAAATCACTTTATCTTTCATTAAAAAGGAAGTTTCCCTGCAGCTATTTCTGCCCTTAAAATTTAGTCAGGAAGAGAGGAAGAGGAGAGAATACGTTAAATCTCCTTGTTAAGTGCTTCCTCAAGTTATTCAGAGTCTTCCAGGCTTCTCTTATGGGAGATACAGGAAGAGTAGGAGTGAGGAAAGCAATCAGAAATCAACATTTTTGCATGCAAATCTTACAGAACAAAACAGAACTGAAATTCATACTAAATATAGGACATAATACCAAAATACAGGCATATCTTTCAAACTTCTGAGTGTGTTCCAAATCAAGTAATACCTTGGGATATTTGGAAAGCTGAAACAAATATTTTTAAAAGTACACTGTAAATAGTGCTTGTGGCAATGGTAGATAAATGTTTAAAAGCTTCCCTGTGCAGTCCACTGAGTGCAACGTATCAGGTATTTAAAAATGTATTTAAGGTTTTAAGTGCTGGTTTTTACAGAGGTGAAAATATTAAGCTACCAAAACTAAATAAAACAACCCAAGTGCCAAGAGCTGCTTTTCAGGATAAAGGCTTGAAGGATACCCACTTACCCTCTTTTCTAGCAATTTAATTCTCATATTCCCCACAACAGACATTTATTTTTGAATCCTCCTAATTATAGTTCCAATTAATAAAATACTGTCTTGGCTTTGCTGTTGGATCAACACAGGTTAACCTGCTCTGGGCTTTTTTATTTTCCAGTGAACTGTGTAAGGAACAAAGTATTACACCTGTCAGTTAATTTCCAAACTGGTGGCCTAGTTCTTCAAAAATAAACATCATCTGTAAAGACTAAAGAACTAAAACTCTCCCCACTCCATGTAACTGTTATAAATGCAATAGCAAAATAAGGTTAATATAAAAAGCAATTTATTATAAAACAATTTCAATCATAAGCAACGAGAGAAAAAAAACACAATAAAATAAATCAGCACAGAGCCGGGTGGACAGGGGTCTGCACCCAGAGGTACAGATTTTCCCAAATCCACGAAGGAGGGGTTGCAGTCCGGGGTTTTTATAAGGATTTTCGTATCCTGAGGCAAAACCCGGAGTGGGCACAGTCCAACAAAGAGTCTAGATGTGTGGTTGAATAGATTTCCCGGATCCGGATCCGTTGAGCTGAGTCAATAGTCAGCTGGGCAGAGTCCTTTCACATGCGAATGGTTCTGGGTGCTTTCTGATTGCATCTTTTGGTTGGACTCCCGGGGTGGAGTATCCAGGTCGGGTGTGAAGCAGATGGATATCTCAGCCAGGCTACTCTCATTGTCTGGCTTGATTGCCTGTGTCCTGCTCTTTATCTCAGGCTGATAAGCGTCGCTGTGGATCGTTACCGCCTGACTCGGGAAGGAATCTTTAGATCATGATACATTTTATATCTTTACATTATTATAAATATAACATATATTTCTTTATTCTCCTTCACAAATTTTTATCCAATGCCACATTTATCACATAACTGATCTATACTTCACATGGAAAGGAGGAAATTCCTTGATTCTAATCTTAAAGGGTAAAAACACAGTGTAAAATATTCTTATATATTGAACACCTAATTTTTATTGCAGACCATACTTCTACCTGACTCTCTCAACCTCACTATACAGCTCACTGGGTTTAAATAAACTTGTGTATTGTAATATTTTAAGGCCTTTCTATGTGAAAAGTGTAATGTGGGAAGTGGGGATCAGACTTCGTCCTATTAAGAAACAAAACGTGAGAGTTTCAGGTTTCAGACCAGGTGCTTCAAAAATCATCTCCCTGTATGTCAGCTGTGTTTTCTTTCTGACAGGCCTTTTCCTAGCAGAAAACCTTGTATGGACTGCTCAGTATTCTTAAACTTATTAGGGAGAGGACACACTCACAGCTTGAATGGAGGTTCCAGCCCTCTAGTCATAAAGTCCATCTGGTTCTAGATCTTTGCAAATAAAATTGTATTATTCTTGCAATCAAAACAGTGTAGGAAGGGGAACAGATCTACACCTCCACCTCTGGCTGGAGGTTCATTTGTTAGCAAAGAAGGCAAATTTCTGCAGTGACCAGAAAGTGTTCAGATCCTAGACAGAACTATTTCTCTGTGCTGAGTGTAACAGTGCTCCTGAACAAAGTGAGGTGGAACAATGTGCTGAGCTTGCTATTAGTCACCAAATCTCAAGGTTGCCTGCATGGTTTGGTCTGAGGACAAGAGAGACAAAGAGGGGACTACAGAAACAAGTTCTCTGAACGACTAAAAACAACCTGTCCCTTTTGTGTCTCAAAACCCATCTCCAAATAATTAAGTTAGAGAACTGCAATAATAATAATAATAATAATAATAATAATAATAATAATCTCTCTTACAATCTTCTGTAACTCATTAAATGTCTGCTTCCTTCCAGCAGCTGCCTAAACAGCACTATGGGCACTGTTTGGAGGAGACCCTGCCCTGGCTCAAGCCCCTGGCAGACCTGGCAGCATCCTCAGCCATCCAAGGATGGTCTCTGCAGTGTTGGTGCAACCTTCCATGCACCCCTGGAGCAGCGGGGGGCTCCCTGAGGCCCTGACACATGGCCATGGCTCTGCTGGTGGCAGTGGCACAAATGCTGCTGCTTCTGGGTCTGGCTGGGGAGTCCCAGTGCTTCTGCTTGCCCAATGCCTTCTACAAGAATTGCTGGATCTGGCGCTTTCCAGGCCTCCTTGTGGACCTGCGGGAATCCCAGAGGAGGGGAGCCCAGCTGCTGAAGGGTTATGCAGAAATCTCCCCCCAGCAGTGCAGCAGAACCTGCTGCCTTCTGAGGAATGGTGAGTATTTGTTGGCAAGATCGTGGCACACATTAAACCCCCCATTTTGGGTAATGTTTATATAAACAGTCCTTCACTTGAAGAAGAAATAGAGGGGGTGGAAGCAGGATCTATAAATTTTTTTGAGGCAGGAAAGCAGAGGCACATTGTAACTGTTGTCCTGTAGAAAGGAAATTCTGTAATTAATAATAATTATCTGTGATTAATGATAAACTGTATTTGTTTAGAAGGCTACACTAGGAACACATTAAAATCTTAGACTCTCCTTTGAAATTTTAGATCTGTGTTACAAAGCTTGTAGGCAATACCAACATTAAGAGAGTAACTCTTCAGTATTCATCCCCAGCTACTGTAGAAAACAAGCAGTGACAGTGATTCTAACAGCACTCTCTTCACGGAGTACATGGTGAGAGGGAGAGTGGAGGGGACACACAGTTTGTCCGTCTCTGAAATACAAGAATATTCAGTTCCTTGGAGAAAGCACTCTCTCATTCTGTATTTATACCATGCAAACCAGGTAACACTAAAGTTATAGCAATAAATAATAGCAGTTATTCAGCTGTCCATGCCTTTTCTCTAGCCTAGTAAACTCAGGCTCAGAGTAAAAAGAAACAAAAACATTTTTTGTCCTAAGCCTTGTACTTTCTTTGTATCACACTGCACTGGTACTCTACAGGAATGTATTTTAGAAGGACACATTAATTGCATGTCTGTGGTGCCTAAATTTTCAAAACTCTCCAGACAGGAAAGGGGTTTGGATATGTTTTGGGAGGATGAAAGTGAAATACCAGTTACTAAAAGAGTGAATATAAATTTTGATGATATTTTGAATTAAGAGTAAAAATATCTTCAAAAAACTTCACAATCTGGCAGTGTCATAAGTAACTTCCAGCAGCAATCCTGGGAAGAGTCAAATTCTGTCGTAAATAATGCGAGGTGAGAAAAATTACATATATTTCAGCAAGGGTGTTCCTACCTCAACAGTAAACTTCTCATATTCCCCATATGGAACTGGATACTTAAAGAGCTAATAAATGGTAACTTGAAATCTCCTTTTTATAATCGTATACAGTCAAACAAAATTTGTTACTATCTTAACTAAAACTGAGACATTAGAGGGCATGTCAAAGGGCTTTAAATCAGTTATTATTTAAGGAGATACAGAAGTAGAACTCATATGGCCATTCTAGTCCAGATGTAAAATAAAAATCTCTTTTGACTGTATTCTCAATTAGTTCATATGATAAAGAGAGAACCACAGGATCTGGTGTCTCTTCCCACAGGATCTGGGCAAATATAATGAACTTCTCATGTTAAATAATATCATAACATGCAAAATGCAATGGTCATTGCGCTGAGAAGCTCAGCTTTGTTCTTTATGGGTTCCAGTCTCTTGCAATCTAGCAGTGTTCTACCATGGAGCCATTCATGAGAACAGGAACTGCCTGCACATGTCTTGCCCAGCTCTGGAAAGCTGCATTCTAAGGGCTGGAGTTGATGTCATTTTGTACAACATCACAACAGGTAATTAAGCATTTCATTTATAATGGCTGAAAACAGAGCAGTTTTAGGAAGTTTTAAAATTGATACCAGGTCAGCTGCTGTGCTAAATGACCTCCTGAAGTAACACACAACCCTAAAAAATTGGAGACTTAATTCCTTTTTCATTAATATACCTACTTCTGAAAATACTTCCCCCCTTTTTTCCACTCAATGAGAAAGGAGCTTGAAGATACACCCAGCTCTCAAGATTCATGCTCTGAGTACCTCATCAGTACTGTGCTTGGCCAAAATACCCTCCCCTCTCTGAGAGACTGAGAGGAGGCTGCCACTGCTCCATGTCCCCAGACCCAAGCAGTAACAAGATTGAACATTTATTTTCATTAGGCACATGCACCATGAGCACACAGGTAACAGAGCCAAACACATAAATTGAACACACCAACACAGGGAGCATCAAAAGCCTCATCCTGATTTTGTGTTAGTGAAAATATATAAATATGTGTATATATATACACACACATATATACGATGCAAAGTCCCCAGCAGCCGGGCTGAGATGTTCTCAGTCTTCCCAGTCTGGACCTCAGGGTGCCCAGTCTGGACCCCAGTCTCAACAGTTGCTGGGATGTTTGAGCCCCTAGGGTGCAGCTTCCCTCCGGTTGCTGCTGCAGACTGTCACACACACATAGCTTTCCTGGATTTCCCTACCCTCGATGGCCTAGATACCACCCTTTCCTCACCTTTGGTTCTTTCCCTAAGCATCCCATAGTAAGTCATGTGCAATCCCAAAATGCACAACCCTTGCAGCCCATAAGATATCCCATAACCCAAGGCAGTGACATGTCCAATCCAAAAGGTCATTATCTGGGCTCCCTGCCCTGCCTCTGTCTCCATGGATCCTTTCTGTGGGCGTGCAGACAAGCTTTTATCAATAAACTAACATTATCCTCATTTACTAGGGATTGATCCAGATCTTCTCATTTTTGAGAAACTGAAATACCAAGAGCCAAATGCTCACTCCTCAGCGAGTACATCTGAGAGGCAGCAGAGCACAAAGACCCCTGAGTGGGGAAGATACCAACATCACAATGTCACCACATTAGGTTCTCCTCTGCTCCGAGCTCCACCTGCTGCCACGAGCCGTGGCTTACCAGGAAACACTCACACCCCCACCTGGAGTCTGACAGTGCGGAGGACTGAAGGTACTGCCTATTCCAGGGCAGAAACTTCCCCGGTAGAGGTTGCTTTTGCTAGGAGAACAAGCAGCAGGTCGGTCACCAGCTCAGACAAGACTGCACACTCGGCTATGAGCCCCAAGTCTGACAAGGTGTTATTCCATGCACCCACCCCTCCTCGTCTGAACAGCAGCAAGCAACACCTCAACGAAACCAAAGGCTACAGTGGGAGGAATTCCACATTGGGTAACGAGGCAGCTGCCTGGGAAGTTGCAGCTTTGGGGGTCTGGCTGATTCCTGTTGTCCTTTGCACTTCTCTCCTCTGCCTGTGCTGTTGCACTTGCCCTCACAGCCGAGAGCTGCAGCTACAGGAGGGGTCACTATAAACCTGCAAGGACAAGAACAAGAATGTCCAGACAGCTCATAAAATATGCTCCTGTCAGAGGTAATCTGTGAAACACCATCCTCGCTCTGGAACAAACAGGATTTTAAAAATGCACTCCATACACCAGTTTACTTCTCTCACAGAAAATAACAGGTGATACCAGTTCAGAATATTTGGTTATGATTTAATTCTCAGCAGATGAAACACAACTCCCTGTCTCTTTAGGTAGGAAGCACCCACTCACAGCTCCCACTGTTTGAAGCATTTTGGTTCATTATCTGATGCAGATTAATGCCTGACAAACACTGTAACACTTCCGCTCAGGTTCAGTGCAGCTACAGCATTGGCATGTCTGTGTGACAGAGAATTATTTAACTGGATGAGAAATCCTGCTATAGTTATCTTTGTGTTTGTGTATTTGCTACCAAATGAATAAACATCCCATGTAATGCAGGAGTACACAAGTGACTTACAAAACGGTCTTTTTGTTTGAAATGGTCAAAATTATTATATTTTCTCCCAAAGAAAGATTAAGCCGAAACTGAGAGAAGTACCTAGTAAATAAATAGGTCTGTACCTTCTGATGCTTTTCTTCAAGCTGAATACAGCGGTTAAAATTCTGCTTGTGTCCACTTTATAGTCTTGAGTGCTGCCAAGAAGGCAATTCAAACTTCAAGACATTGCAGCACGACATTCCAAAAATAATTTCTCCAGAAAATTTGGGAATATACTAAAACTTTTATTGCTCCATAATTGCATGTAGTTTTTAGGATACAGAATCCACATGCAGGTATCTTAATCTAATTTAGATTAGAAGAATTATCTTCTCTTGACCTAAACATTACCCCATAGTTTCAGCTGGATAATGTGAGAAATGAACTTGTAAAAATTCGTAGAAATCTAAATAAATGTATATAACAATAATGATATAAAATATAAAGTACAGTATGGCCTACAAGCCCTTCCCAGATCTAGTCGCGAATTCCCACTCAAAGGATAACGATCCTAGCCAGCGCCCATCAACGAAAAAGAATAGACAGGACAAGGATCATCAAGCTGACAGGGACAGGCTCGGTGCCCATCAACGGAAAAGAATAGACAGGACATGAATCATCAAGCTAACAAGGAGAGGCTCCGACGAGATACTCATCACCGGACCTGAACACCCCGCCTTGCAGGCTACCGTTGGGGGAAGCCATCAGGTAGACAAAAGGAAAAAGTCCAGCCGAGATATCCATCAGCTCCAACCCGGATCCAACCATCCCATCCAGATGGCCTGAACCACAATGAAATCAAGAAACACCCAGAACTTCTTTACATATGAGGAGACTCTGTCCGGACGTCCATTTGACTCTATTCTCCAACGCCAGGAAATCAATTCATACAACAATCAAGGACCGTTGGTGAATGGTGCCTGCCTGGAATTTGGCCTCAAGGCTAAAAATTCCTATAAAAACCCCGGACAGTCTACCCTCCTTCGTGGATTTGGGAACACCTATACCTTTGGGTATAGACCCCTGTCCACCCAGCGCTGCGCTGTTTGTTTTATTGTGGTTTTTCCTCATTGTTTATTCTTTTATAAAAATTGTTTTATAATAAATTGTTCTTTTATTTAACCCAAATTTGCCTTTGCATTTATAACAATAATGTGTTTCAATTTTCTTACCCTAGAGTTTTGCCAAGCATTGCTGAATATTTTATCTTCAATCACAGAGGTATACACAGTTTATGTTTAAATTAGTTGTTTCATATTAGGGATTTTTACTGGAATACCAATTTATTTTTTATTTTTGAAGACAGGAGAGCACTTAAAACCTTCTCCCTATTTCACAAAGATTTGCAGTTCGAGGCAGCAATATGGTAACACAATGCCCCTCACTTGTTAATTTATAATGCTACAAAGAATGCATTATTTATTTAGGTAATGATTTAATCATGCATCAGGGATAGGGGAAGATGCTTAAATCCATAACGTATATATTTATGGTCTGTTGCTGAACTTGCAGCCACAAAAGCCTGTCTAGGGAACTCAAAGTATCAGCGTGGAAACAAATTGTGAATGTTGGCCATCACCTTTCTCCTCTGTACCATTAAGATATTACTGTTCTCAGATAAATATTACAGAGTTCAGCTGAAAATTGACAGGTTCTATCATATTGTAATCCCTTCCTTACCTGAGACTTGCATTAACTTCATGTCCCCAAGTCCTTAAGTGTCCATTCTTCCAGTTCAGGCTGAGCTGTGCCCTGAGCTCCCCATAAAGCATCTGCTGACAGCAAAATCAGAAGTGTTTCCAGCTCATCTGTGCTATCAGTGACCATCCAGAACAGCTTGTGTCAAGGAAAAAAAAGAAGAAAACCTCATCTTATGGGGTGGATACAGCTGTAATATTTTTTTAAATAGAGCGAGTCATAGGTAGTTAACCACTTGCTTTCAAAAAGGAGGGTTTTCACCTCCCTTCACTTTCAGAAAAATAAATCCTTGCCTGCAGTAAGCCACTGCAGTAAGTCATTCCTGGTTCCCTGTCTTTTTCATCTCCAGATTAGTGACCATAGAGTGCACTTCAGAGCACCTTGATGCTCTGTTGAGTCTTACTCTCAATATGATGTTCTGGAGAAGAATCATATAATGCAACTGGAACCTCCGTTCTCATCAGAAAAAGATATAGGAGACAAAGTGAAAATTTCTATCTGTACCATGAGCAAATGCTTCTGGGACAACAGGGAATGATTAAAGATTATGTTCTGAAGAGATTTCTTGGCTTGTTGACAGAGAGAGGGCAAAAAAATTGGCACAAAAAGGATTATATGAGACACAATAGCAGAGCTATTTTATTACAGACTGAGAGAGTCACAAGAAAATAAATACATTTTATGTATGAGGAAAAGCAAGAAATGGGTAACAAGATGATTTGTCCAAACAGCACATCTCTTTTTATGTAACTGTCCCTTTATCCCTTCCTTGTGCTTGTAGAAACCTTATTCCTGAAAACAGGGGGAAAAAAATGTCCACTCTTTGGAATGTTTATATGTGGGATGAAATGAAAGTTCCCAAAGGTGTGCACAGAGGGATGCACTCCTCAGTAATTTAAATTTTAATGTACATGACAAATGAATAAGTAACCAGTGCTAAAGATTAATTTATTGTGCTGCAGAGCTGCTTTAACCTGTAATTTTCTTAATCTCTAACTTGTTGGTTTTTAAACTTCAGCACAGGATTCCAGAGAGATGGAAGATGCAAAAGTATTGTATAGTAAAATAGACATGTGTTGAGGGTTAGGTGTCCTTTTTTTTTTTGTTTTTGTTTGTTTTGTCGTTCTGGCCTGCCCGGGGAATTTTTACCCATTATGTGCTGGGGCAACCTAACTACCGGTACTTAGGGGTGATTGACAACGGACAAAGAGTAGCCGGGCCCAGGAGGGGGGGAAGGGGGCAGAAAAGGAGGGTGGGGACAGTTTTTAGGTGGCTTTTCTTCGGCTTCGGGGAAGGACGTTCGTGGGCTGGGTCGCGGAGCTGCTGCGGTGGAGAGAAGGGATTTTCGCCATCACCCAGACGGAGCAGTTGCTTCTTCTCCTTCTCCCCTCTTGGCTGGTGGCCTCGCACCCCCTGCCCTGCCGGGACGTGTGGCAGTGCCAGGCACCGCCGCGGAGCTGCTGATACACCTCAGCCACCGACCCAGGATCTCAGCTCATCCCTGCTGTTTCCAGCCGACTGTTCCTCGGAGCCCTGCAGGAGCACCGGGACTGACTGCCCGAGGGGTTTGTGAAAAACAAAACCTCTCCTCCATCCCATCTCAGCTGAGAGAGCTGTCCCGGGGTCCCTGGTTCTGTGTTCTTGTTATTGCTGTAGTTATTGTTTGTTTGTTTGCCTGGTTATACTAGTAAAGAACTGTTATTCCTATCCCCAGATCTCTGGCTGAAAGCCCCTTGATTTCAAATTTATAATAATTCGGAGGGAGGGGGTCTACATTCTTTCATCCCAAGGGAGGCTCCTGCTCTCCCTAGCAGACACCTGTCTTCTAGAACCAAGACAACATGTGTAGTTCACTTCTTAAAAATATGTGCTGTATTTTACATCCTTGAGGTTCGGAAGACTCCTACAGAGGTAAAGATCCCAGTGTTCCAGGTATTCTGCAGTCACACTATCAAATACTAACAGTTTAGAGGGAGAAGCAGAAAAGCAGAGAGGAACATCCAAGAGCTCAAAATAGCATCCAAGCTGCCTTTTGTCCTGCCCACTGCATTACACAAGTTCTGTACTGCAACATAGAAACCATCAGTAAAAATCACAAGTGTAAGTTTGAGTTTTATCCCAACATTGTCCAGTAGGTATTGTTATAAATGCAAAGGCAGATTTGGGTTAAATAAAAACAATTTATTATAAAACAATTTTTATAAAAAAAATAAACAATGAGGGAAAACCACAATAAAACAAACAGCGCAGCGCTGGGTGGACAGGGGTCTATACCCAAAGGTATAGGTGTTCCCAAATCCACGAAGGAGGGTAAACTGTCCGGGGTTTTTATAGGGATTTTTAGCCTTGAGGCCAAATTCCAGGCAGGCACCATTCATCAACAGTCCTTGATTGTCGTATGAATTGATTTCCTGGCATTGGAGAATAGAGTCGAATGGACGTCCGGACCGAGTCTCCTCATATGTAAAGAAATTCTGAGTGGCTCTTGTGGTTCAGGCCATCCGGATGGGATGGCTGGATCCGGGTTGGAGCCGATGGATATTTCGGCTGGATTTTTCCTTTTGTTTACTTGATGGCTTCCCCCAACGGTAGCCCGCAAGGCGAGGTGTTCGGGTCCGGTGATGAATATCTCGTCGGTGCCTCTCCGTTTTGGCTTGATGTTTCGTGTCCTGCCTATTCTTCCCCGTTGATGGTCACCGAGCCTGTCCTTGTCAGTTTGAGGAGGTTTTTTTTTTTTCTGTCAGCTTGATGGGCCGCGTCCTGTCTATTCTTTTGTTGATGGGCGCCGGCTAGGATCGTTATCCTTTGAGTGGGAATTCGTGGCTAGATCTGGGAAGGGCTTGTGTGTCATACTGTACTTTATATTTTATATCATTATTGTTATATACATTTATTTAGATTTTTACGAATTTTTACAAGTTCATTTCTCACAGTATCATCTGTTTTTGGGAGAGACACTTTGTGCTCAAGAGACAGTCACCTTAAATCCTGCCTGTATTACCTGAAACGTTTATAGTATGTACATAAGTTAGGCTTGAACAATTCAGAATGAGCTGGTGAAGCCTGTGCATTTTAGGTTTTCCATCAATTAGCTGTGGAGCTAATGAAAAAAATCAAATTACCCTTGCTGTGCTGTTCTTTCTACATTATTATTAGTAAGGTCAAAATGTTGTTTCAGGCATGGTTTCCAGAGTTCTGCTTTTGTCCATTCTGTGAAAAGCAAAGGAAAACTGGGATGTCCTCTGCTGCAGAGAATTTTCTCAG